AATAATAATAATAATAATAATAATAATTGGATAAAAATTATACTATTTAATTAGATAACAGTAAATTATCTGGTGTATAGCTAGTATTTAATATTGTATAAGTAATTAATAATAAATTATTATTTACTATTGTGTCTGATGTCAAAGATCTGTAATCCTGGCTACCAAGAAGACTGAGGCTTGAGGATCCCAAGTTGAAGACCACTGTGGACCCTGTCCAGGACCCTGTTCCAAAATTTAAAAAAAGCAACAACTGTAAAAGCGGCTGAGAATATAACTGACTCAATAGAAACAATCTTTCCTAGAATCCACCAGTGAGGGATTGGAGGCACAGCTCAATGGCAGAGTACTTGCCTAGTGTTCTGAAGGTCCTAGGTTCTGAATGTCTAGTACTGAAAATATAGATAGGTACGTAGGTGGTAGGTATGTAGGTAGACATGCCGTCAAACGAGCTAAGAAGCAAACAAAGGAATCAAAGTTGGCTCATATAGCAAAAACAAGAAGCAATGAAGAGACTACTACAGGGACTGAAGAGGTAGCTCAACAGTTAAGAATACTGGCTGCTCTTCCAGAAGACCCAAGTTCAACTCCCAGCACCCACATGACAGCTCATTACTGTAACTCCAGAGGATCTGACACAGACATACATGTAAGCAAAACACCAATGTCTTTAAAATTTTCAAAAGAAATTTAAATATAAATAGAAATGATTCCAGGTAGTGTTTGGTACCATCTTCAAATGAGGTCATCCTGAGATAAAAGACCGTGACTAGATCATGTGACCATCTTCCTAAATTAACCATCATTATTGGCCATCTACCTGCAACAAGCATGACAACCTGAATTCATTCCCAGGGACCCACAATGACCAAGGAGTAAACCAACTCTCACAAGTTTCCCTCTGACCTGCACATACATGACATGCCACACAGACCCATGCACACAAGTAGGGAAAGGGGTTTCCTATTTGGTTCTTGATTGTGTCAATAAGAGAGATTGAAGCCAATTGCTAGAAGGGGAAAAGGTGGGCCTTCTGGGTCCCAGAAGGAGGAAAAAAGGAGTCTAGTGAGGAATCAGGTCTGCTACACAGTGGACAGGAGGAGAAAGCAGGCAGCCTGGGGTTAGTGTCACCAGAAGAAAGCTAGTCATGAGGGAGTGCTGCAATGTCGATGGAACTCCCAGATTCCCCCTTTTGGGGGATTGAGTTGTAGCTGGGGGAACAGGGTGAGATCATAAATCAGACTGTGGCATTTCTGGTAAGGGGATAACATTTTTTTAAGATATATTGTATGTATATGAGTACACTTTCACTGATCAGACACAGTACAACTGAACATTAGATCCAATTATACATGGTAAAAAGTCACCATGTGGTTGCTGGGAATTGAACTCAGGACTTCTTTAAGAGCAGTGATCTTAATCACTGAGCCATAGCATGTTTTAAAGTTACAGGAAACACAAACACAGAATATTAGGCATGACGCCTTTAATCCCATTGCTCCAGAAGTAGACAGGAGGATCTCTGATCTAGAGAGCAGACAGGTCTACATAGTGAGCTTCAGGATAGACAGGGCTACATAGAGAGACCTTGTCTCTAAGTAAATAAATAAATCTATGAATAGATGAGTAACTTAAATGATAATTTTAATTTTAAAACATTTAATTTAAAATTAGTATGCATGTTCTAACCTTATCTCAAACAAATGATAACCCACAGGGCATAGTGAAAGAGACCACATCCACTAGGGGCAACCCAGCATCCAGTTCTCTAGAAAATTCTCTGGATTTCAATCTCAGTCTTTCCAGAAAAAAAACTGGATCCAGAATCACCCAGACCCCTTTCTCTTGTGGGTTTTCATGTGTCCCTTCAAAGTCCCCTGCTGTCGGAAATGCTTGTCACACTTCTTATCGAGTTTTGGGTTTCAAGTTGAGATGGATGCGGAAATGGACAGTGAGGTTGTCCTTGTGGCCTATGCATTCCCCACAATGCTTACACACATAAGGCTTCTCATTTGTTTGAACCCATCTGTGGCCCTGCAGGGTGAAACAGTGGGCAAACTTCTTTCCACAGACTGCACAGGCATAAGGCTTCTCCCCGGTGTGGACACGCTGGAGGACTCTCAGGGCTGAGGACTGTGCAAAGGACTTGTACAAATTGCACTTGAACCGTCTCTCTGCTGTGTATGACCTCTTGTGGAGGTCAAACTGAGACCTGTAAAGAAACCTCTTCTTGTGTTCAGTACACTGAAACCGAGCCTGGCCAGTAACAATGTTAACTTCTTCTACATGCTGTAGGGAAGCAGGCTGTATCCCATCTTCTGTTTTGCCAATATAGGAGAGCACTCCTTGGGAAGTGGGTATTTTGAAACCATGAAGACTCTGAAGATCTCTTTTCAAGTCTAATTCTCTTTCTAGAATATGGGTCAATGATGGCACAGCATCCTCAGTGGTGTCTTCTTGGGGCAACATGGCACCCTTTACTCTTGAGAGAACCAGCTGGAAGAGATTCCACACACAACATTTAAACTATTAGATGCTGTCTCAAAAAAAGTATTATATATATTTAGATTATGGGAGAATGTGCTATTCTAAGATAGTGGAGGTCATAGAATAATTTTTGGGTTGATTCTCTCCTGCCCACTTTACCCACTCATGCAGTACTTAAAGACCATTCTGCTTCCCAGAGGGACAGCAGGCACAGGTGAGTTGCACACAGTACCCCAACCTCCATTTTCTGGACCTGGCATCACCCTGATATCCTGAGAAAAATTGTGGGACCCTAAGATTGTCTTTGTTTCTCTGTGGAGGACTACCGGGGCCACAGAAACAACCAGATTGAAACCTGTCCCAACAATCCCTTGCCAGTGGGTCCACCTTGGGCACAACCAGCAGAGGTGACATGTGTTTGGTCACCTGGCTTCTATTGTCTGTCTCTGGGATTCCTGTGCTTTCCCAAGGACACTGGCAGGACCCCTCCCACTGGAGGCACACAGGGCAGGGGTCACCAGGAAAACCCAACTTGGAACACACAACTACTACCAATCCCATGCCAGTCAGGTCCACCTGGAGCTCATCTGGTGATGTGAGTTGCAGGGGTGTTTCAATAAACACACACACACATACATACACACACACAAACATAACCCATCATATAAACAACCTGATAGAAAAACTACATGATCATCTCATTGGAAGCTGGAAAAGCTTTTGACAAAATCCAACACCTCTTCATGTTAAAAGTCTTGGATATATCAGAGATACAAGGCACATACCTAGACATTTAACAAAAACAACAAAAACACAATATACAGCAAGCAATAGCCAACATCAAATTAAATGGAGGGGAATTTGAAGCAACTCAACTAAAGTCAATGACAGGACAAGGCTGTCCACTCTTTCCCTATCTCCTCAATATATTACCTGAAGTTCTAGCCAGTGCAATGAGACAGCTAAGTGAGGTCAGGTGGATACAAATTGGAAAGGACGACTTCAAAGCATTCCTATACGATGATGAGCTTATAGCACACATAAGCAACCCCAAAAATTCTCCCAGAGGACGACTACTTCTGATAAAGACCACCATCAAAGTGAATGGTTGCAAAATTAACTAAAAAGCAAACCCCAAAAAACCATGTGCCCTTCTTTATGAATGACAATGTCCTGAGCAAAACGTCAGGGAAACACCCCTCAAAATAGTCACAAATAACAAAATACATTGGTGTTACTCTAACTAAGCAAGTGAAAGACCTGAGTGATAAGCACTTCAGATAAAAAGCGACGGAAAGATCTCCCATGCTCATGGATAAGTAGGTTAACATTGCACAAATGGGTCATCTTACCAAACACAATCTACAGATTCAATACAATGTCTTTCAAAATGCCAACACAATTCTTTTACAAAACTTGAGAGAAGAATTCTCAACTTCACAAGGAATACTAAGAAAGCCCAGGGTGGCTTAAAAGAATCCTGTACAATAAAGGAGCTTTTTGGAGGTATCACTATCCCTGATCTCAAACTGTACTACAGAGGAAAGGTAATAAAATCTATATGATATTGGCATGAAAACAGGCTGATCAATGGAACACTATTGAAGACCCAGAAATAAGCCTCACACTTGTGGACACTTGATTTTTGACAAAGAACTCAAATTAATACAATGGAAACAAAACGAGCAAGACAGACAGACAGACAGACAGACAGACAGCAAGAAAGTAAGAGAGCAAAAAAGCAGGCAAGAAAAAAAATAATCTTCGCCAGGCAGTGGTGGCACACACCTTTAATCCCAGTACTTGGGAGGCAAAGGCAGGCGGATTTCGAATTCTGAGTTCGAGGCCAGCCTGGTCTACAGAGTGAGTTCCAGGACAGCCAGGGCTACACAGAGAAACCCTGTCTCGAAAAACCAAAAAAAAGATGCTACACTGTACCCAGACCCCCTCTTCTCAGAGATTAAGCAGATGGAGATGAGTAAAAGGGGGGGGAGGGGGCTCCAATTGAGATGTAGGTTGAATAAATAAATTAATGGAAAAAATAGTGGATGCAAAAAAAATTTTGAAAAAGTCCATTGCAACCATACCAGACTTGTCCAAACTCAACTCTGCTGTTGGCTGGGAACATCCCACCAACTCCCCAAGAGCACTGGACAGGCTAATAAGTTCCCAGTAAGTTCCCTCCTTGCACTCACCAGGACCCAGTGAGGAATGAGTGTCCTGACAAACAAAGGCAGATGTCTCCACCTCTTCCCAGTCAGAAACTGAGTCACTCCCCAGGCTCTGCTCAGGTCTCAGGTAGGCTGGCTGTCTCCTCTCAGGAATTACTCCCAAAGTGTCCTCTACCTTGAAGGGACAATTCAGATCAATTAATTATGGGTGCGTGTAGTTTACACACCCATGGAGAGATGGAGTTGAGTAATCTGTCTCAATCTGGTATACTAACTCTGTTTCGGTGTTGTGGGAATATTCATACTTCTAGAGCCCACCTTACTATCCCAGAAAAAGGAATATTTTTCTCTTATTTGTACATCTGTCCAAGTCACATCCTGGTTCTTCCTCCCAGCCCATGCTCTCAGAAGGAAGTATTTACAAATACCTTGGTCACAGAACTAGATTATTCTGACTAAATCATAACTTAAATTCTCTCAAGTATTTTGAACTACATTCTGCCATGTGGCTGATCACCTGTGCTCAGGTACCAAGCCTGCCTCACATCTTCCTGGGAAGCTCTCCCACACAAGCCTCTATTCCAGAACTCCTTCTGTATCCTGGGTACCCCACCTTCAATTCTACCCTTTTCTACAGTGCATAGGGTTTATTAATTGACAGGTGATGGGTCCATACAATACATAAGAGAGTCTCTGAACATACACCTTTCATTTATGTGTAACTAACTACCATACCTCTAAATCTCACATTGGTTGTTACTTGAATTTTCTAAAAACATTCCTTCCTGCTCTTGACTCTTCAAGCAAAATGCCTGTCAACCTTGGTGACACTAAGATTTAGGGCTAATGGGACTAGAGATGATATGGCTCAGAGACTAAGATCACTGACAGCTCTTGTGGAGGGCTTGGGTTTGCAACCAAAAGGAGGTTCACACCCACCTGTAGGTCCAGCTCCAAGGGGTCTGTCACTCTCCTCTCACCCCTGAAGACACCAGGCACGCACATGGTATACAGATACACATGCAAGAAAAATACCCACACATACAACAGGACAATATAATAGAGGACTGAATGACTCTGATGTGGAGGAGGTGTCTCCTGGTACAGATTGTGGACTTTTAGTGATAGACACTACCAGGCGGTGGTGGCGCATGACTTTAAACCCAGCACTTGGAAGGCAGAGGCAGGCAGATTCCTGAGTTCAAGAGTTCAAGGCTAGCCTGGTCTACAGAATGAGTTCCAAGACTGCCAGTACTACAGAGAAACCCTGTCTTGAAAAACAAAGCAAAAAGATTCTAAGAGGCAGACGTGGGGTGTGGGTAGGGAAGAAAGGGGTGAGACAATAGGTCAAGTGAAAGGTCCAGAGGAGGGGGATGGTGACAGGAATAAAGACAAATCTTAAGGACAGGACAGGAAAGGACAGGACAGGGCAGGACTGCTGAACTCATGAACTGAAAGCAGCTAGAGAGCCCTTTACAGCATCCAGCCAATCACCATTCCAGCAAGGAGTAGGAGGAACACAGGAGTCCCCGCCCCTAAATGAGGAGCTTATGGACACTTGATGGCTTTGCTGAGGGGGAGAGTTGGGGTTTTGGGATCACTGATAGATCTACCTCAATCCACAGAATGGCCTCACACCCAGGGCTGTATAGGTAGTACAAACTAATTCAGGGGCAGGGAGGTTAGTCTTCAAAGAAGGGCTCAGGTAAAGGTATGGATCTGGGGAGGTTAAGCAAAAGAATGAAGGGTGGAAAAGTAGACTTTCTTATAGCCTTCTGTCCCTGAAAGACTGCAGGAGAATGAACCGCCTTCATTCCTCACACCCAATCAGATCCAGTATTCTACTAGCTTTTTTCCTTTGCTTGTTCCCTGGTCTGTGGTACTAGAGCTCTGTCCAGGCAAGCGCTCTATAACTGAGAACCACACCCCTCCCCACTGGTGAATACTCTGCACCCCTGCTCTACCTCTGACCACCCTGCAGGACCTTGGACTTTTTTTCCTGGTTTGTTTGAAACAGGGTCTTGATGAGTTGCCCATGTTGTCTCTGAACTCTATGTAGCCCAGAATGGCCTCAAACCTGATCCCTTAGCTTTCCAAATGCCTTTCAGTCCAGGATAGCACCATGCTTTATCAGTGTGTGTTGACTCTGGCCTCACAGTTCTTGTTGAGAAAGAGTCTCGGCAGAGGCAGGTAGATTTCTGAGTTCCAGGAAAGCCTGGTCTACTGAGTGAGTTCCAGGACAGCCAGGGCTATACAGAGAAAACCTGTCTCAAAAAGAGAGAGAGAGAGAGAGAGACTCAATGTGTAGTTCTAGCTGGCCTTGAACTCAGAAATATTTCTCACACACATTCCACCTCAGAGCTGAGACTAAATGCTTGCACTGCCAGGCCTGCCCTTTTTGCTGAGCTTTCGTGAGTAGCAGACAGACAGGTCTTCATTCTGTACAACAATATGCATGAGACATGTATGTCTATGGTCAGTGTGTCTGACCCCAGCCATTGGCAAATCTCTCAGGCCTCCTGTCTTCCAGCTCCTTCTCTCAAATCACCCCAAGGACAATGACATGCATTCACCTGGCTGGTGGATGGCTCTTCCATTTCTGAGAGGTTCTGCAGCTCTGGGCTCTGCTGCTTCAGGCTGGCCTGGCCTCTGTTGAGAGACTCCGTCGTCCTACTTGATAGGTGCTCTTGGGACAAATCAATAGGATCCCATGTCTCCTCTGGGGCTTCATCCTTCCCAACACTGGGATCCCGAAGGAGGCATGCCTGTCCTTGGTAGTCGATTATGGACTGTGGGGAGAAAGGGAATTGGGGTGAGACTGAAGTAAGAGTCTGGATCTAGTTCTCCCAGCAAGCACTCTTGCTTCTGTTCCGACATAGCAAGGAAGTTTGGCTTATTTGCTAATCTGTCTTTCTGAGCATGGATTGGTCCACAAGGTCACACTTAGCTACACAGTGACTTGGGGACCGGCTTGGGCTACATTAGACCATGTCTCAGTAGAGAAAGAATCTGGGGCAGCAAGGTGGGAAAGAGGGCTCAGTGATTATGAGTACTGCTCTTTGTTCACTGACTGTTCAAGGTCACAGACCTGCACCAACAGAGTGGCTCCTAAATGTAACTCCCGTTCCAAGGGGACCTGATGTCTTCCTCTGGCCTCAACGGCATCATGAGTGCATAGAAACATACAGATTAAAACAACAGCACAACAACCTCAGCAACAAAGGGACTGGAGAGTTAGCTCAGAGAGATTGGTAGCAGGAGCTGCTTTCCCAGAGCACCCAGGTTCAATTCCCAGCACCGACATGGCAGCTCAAAACTGTAGTTCCAGTTGCAGGGCACTGGTACTCACACAGACATGCAGGGAAAACACATGAATATATAAAGCACATAAAATAAACAATAAATTAGAAAATAAAAAACATTGTTTCTATCCCCTGACTCAATGAGTTGATCATTGGTCTGTTAGATTGCACTATTTCTGATCTGGACATGCCCTTGGCCTCTAAATGAAGTTTCTGTGTAACCTTCACAAAGACAAACAAGCCCATAAAAGTCCCCAGAAGTTGTCATTTATCTCTTGGGAAGCAAACTCTCCCCTTGAGAGCCACACATTTAGGGCAAGATTCTCTACCGGCTCTGCTCCCAGGTCACCAAGCCCCCACAGCTGTCTTTCCCAGAGTGTACAACGGAACCTCTGCTTACCCACTTGTGGGATCTCCCTTCCCTCAGCATCTCTTCCAGGTCTTTGCAGCTCTTCACTCCGCTCTCCTTCACTAAGGCCTGCAAATCTAGTGGCATGCAGATTAGGTACTTCTCCAACACCAGCTGATCCAGGATCTCCTCCTTGCTGTTCAGGTCCGGCCTGAGCCACTGATGGCATAAGTCAGAGATCTTCCTCAGGTCCTGGACTGGGTCAGACTCTTCCAGTGGTTTGTATGCTCGGAACTTCAAGTGCCAAAAATCGGGATTGTAGTTTTCCTTTTGTCCGTGTTTTACCTGAGATGTTAGGGATAGTGGCTGCCCTGATCTGACAAGGCTGTCTGATGGCACATTCATATCCATATCTGTGATGACTATTCCCCTTGTTCTAGGAAAAATTTGAAGAGACTCCTGTGTAAACCAGCCTACCTGTTTGGCCTGAGAGACAGGCTTGATGTTGGTTCAGACACCTGGGAAAGCAAGAAGGAAGAAGATTAGTTTTATTCTGTTGCCTTCTAGATTTCATCATTTCTCAGAACATATCCTCCCGCAAACAGTTGTGGACATTCCCACTGTTTGTTAGGAACACACAAAATTGTTGCTGGTTGTGGTGGCACACACCCTTAATCCGGAATGCTTGTGAGGCAGAGGCAGTTAGATGCATGTTTGTTCAGGCTAGCCTGGTCTACAAGGAATGAGTTCCAAGATAGCCAGAGCTACACATAGAATCCGGTCTCAACAAAACAAAACAAAACAAAAGCTTTAATAAAAAAATTAATAATTATAAAAATTAGATCTAAATTACTTTTCAAGTATAGCTTAAAACTTGGTACTTGTTTGAAAATTTAACACAAAAGGTTCATAAAAAAGCATTTATAGCCGGGCGGTGGTGGCGCTCGCCTTTAATCCCAGCACTTGGGAGGCAGAGGCAGGCGGATTTCTGAGTTCAAGGACAGCCTGGTCTACAGAGTGAGTTCCAGGACAGCCAGGGCTACACAGAGAAACCCTTTCTTGAAAAAAAAAAAAAACAGAAAAAAAAGCATTTATATTGCATTACAAACTAATTACAACTTAATGTATTAGCTGTATAAATTAAATTAGAATTATAAGAGACTCTAAAACAAACCAAGAAACTAAAAAACACAGGGGTGGCTCACACCTCCAAGCCAGGATCACTGAGGAAGATGAGGTCATGGTCTCTATATAGACCAGGCTGGCCTTGAACTCAGAGACCTGGATGTCTTTAACTTCCAAGAGCTGAGATTACAGGTGTGTGCACTGTGCCTGGCAAAACAACAATAATAACTTTAAATACTAGTTATGAACATTTTATGTGGATCCTTACATTTTATTTGTTTAAAATGCATGCCTGTCTCTGTGCCTAGTACCCAGGGCCTTGAAGACTCTGAGAGTTGTAGGCAACTGTGAGCCTCGTTTTTGGTGCTAGAAACTGAATCTGAGCTCGCTGGAAGAGCAGCCAGTGCTCTTAACTGCTGAGCTATCTCGAAAGAACAAAACAAAACAACAACAAAAAAAAAACCCAAAACCTTTTTAAGACAACGATTCTGGGTAGCTCTGCCTGTTCTTAAACTCAGAGATCTTCTAGTCTGAGTGAACAGTGCGAGGTCTAACCTTTTTATTTTAATAATTAAGATAATGAAATAAAACTGCAGCAGATTGCAGACATAGTGGTGTGTGCCTTGAATTCCAGAACTGTAGAGGCAGAGGCAGGTAGTTCTGGCCTGGGCTACACAAAAAGATTAAATACCCTGTCTCTGTCATTGAGGGGGGTGAGGGGAGGAAAGGTGAGAGGGAGGGAGGGAGTGGGTGAGAAGATTGCAAGGTTGTAGATATATCAAAGTTGGTAGGGTACTTGCCTTGAATCTGTTATAGCCCTGCTCCTCAAAAATAAATTAAAAAGAAAATCCGCCAAACAAACTGAAAAAAAACCCAACTCACATCATCCCCTACCCACATATATGGTGTTAAAAATCTAATACATTTAAATGTTTCAGGAATTGGTGTTTATTTCTTTTTACTCTGTAGCTTTGACTATCCTGGAATTCCCTCTGTAGATCAGGCTGGCTTCCAACTCAATGATCCACTTAACTCTGCCTTTTTAGTCCAAGGAGTTAAAAGAGTGTGCCACTAACACCACAGCTAGAAATTAGATTTTAACCAAGAACTAGTGTCATCATTGATTTGAACTTGTTCCAAAATGGTTTCAGGTTTTTGCCTTTATTTTTAGTTTTGAGATAGGGTTGGGATGGATAGCCCAGGCTGTTTTAAAACTCATCCCATTGTAGGGTTTCCCCATAAACTTTATAGCAATCTTCTGCTTCATCTACCTTCTGAGAGCTGGGATTCCAGCTCTCCACAATGGACTCTAGTGTTCTTCACGCCCAAGGCTTGCTATAATTATGTCAATTAAAAATAATGCCTGAGGGTTCCCGCTTCTGCTTCCATCTCTTGAAGCTAAGGCAGGAGGATGGAGTTCCAGGACAGCATGGATTCTAGAGCTAGACTATCTCATGAGGAAAGTACAATAAAAATGAAAATTCAAACATGAAACCACGTGACCCTGCAACCCAGCGTGGAAATAGGGATCTGAGCAAAATGGAATAGGCTCTTGGAGTCTGCCACTGCAACACAATTATCACCAGGAGCTGAGTTCCAATGAAGAAAGATTCTCATCAAAAAGGACACAGTAGGAGTTCTAGGGACCTGGGAGTTCTTTCTGTTTGTTGAGAATGCACCTCCACATGCTGCCTCCTCTGGTTGGAACTCACCATCCTCCTGTCTCAGGGCCATACTGCCTAGCTAAAGGTAACTTGTGCCAGTTAATTCTTGAGGGATCCTCCGTTGTGTCCGCATCAGAACACACAGCTTTGCTAGTCTGCCTTCCTCCCTGGTGAACTTACCTCGCTTGTCCTGTCTTCGAGTATGCAGTTGTCTGTCTTCCCAGGTCTGTCTGCACAGTGCTGGTTCTCTGCGAAATGCTGGGAGCCACAGCGCCACAGCTTATATAGGGAGGATTAGAACTGTCTTCTGCTTACTAGTCTGCTCAGAGATTGCCTCAAGCCCTTTAGACGCCATTTCAAATCTCATTTTAGAAACCCAGAGGATAGATTTATGGTGGGACTGTCGGAGGGAGGGGATAAACTGATTAAATGACCAGGGTGTGGTCATGATACCAGCTACTGGGGAGGCTGAGCCCTGAGGATTGTCAATTCAAGGCTTGCCTGGGCTTCTGAGGGAGTGTAAAGCCAGCTGAGGAAATTCAATGAGCTGCTGTCTCATAGTTTTAAAAAATGAATAAATAAACAAACAATTTTGTCTGCCTCGGCTGGGAATACAGTTCAGATGTCAGGGTGTATGACTTAGCATGCAAGGAGCTTGAAAGGGTCTGTTTTTAGCACTGTATAAAACCGGGTGTGGTGACACACACCTGTAATCTCAAGTTGGAGGATCAGAAGTTTAGTCGGCCGGGCGGTGGTGGCACTCGCCTTTATTCCCAGCACTTGGGAGGCAGAAGCAGGCAGATTTCCGAGTTCGAGTCCAGCGTGGTCTACAGATTGAGTTACAGGACAGTCAGAACTACACAGAGAAACCCTGTCTCGAAAAACAAAACAAAAGAAGAAAGAGGAGGAGGGGGAGGGGG